ACCCACCACCCATCTTTGCTTATAATCCTTGTGACTTCAGACAATCTCAAGGCAATCCGTACAGGATGCACATGGGTCGATAAGAAACTGATCAGTTGAAGTTTTAAACATCAATGTGAACATTCAAACAAACAATGCAAAATGCATGTTTCATTGTTTTTATATGAGAAATGTTGCAAAAGAAGACTTTACCAAATGGATTTCATCAAATATAAGTTGAACTGAGACGTTTAGTTGGATGTTGTGAAGTGATGATTACTAAATAATAATGTTATAAAACAATGCTAATAGGAAACGAAATTCAGTTATGTCATATTGTTATTCATAAACTTGAAATTTGAAAACAGTTGAGATTCTTAAGTTAAATTTACTTTGGTTAGCTTGTGATTATAATTTTTATACAATTGTCAAGCAATGTCTACATCAACCAGGTATCGGTGTTAGTGAAGAAATGTATAATAGCACAATAATTCTTTGTCTGAAACTCAACTGTTAGTATTTCTTTATGTCTAATAAGCGGAAAAATACATTCAGTTCGAATTTAAAATAATAAATTAGTATAAATTAGTGGCTGAATTCATGAGTTGATCTCATCTAGACCGCCACTGAATATCTGGTAGTACTGAACGGCTGTTTCTTCCTAGTATGAGACTCCTCAGCAGTGTGCATACACGATCTCGCAAGTGGAACTCAAACCCAGGACATTCGGTCTCGTGAGAGAATGCCTAGCCTCTATATCACGGAGCTGGCATCCAACGGTGTTAATGTCTAACTCCAACCAATCCAAGAATAAATTAGTGAATGTTTTGTAGAAAACGACTCCTAAAGATCTAGGCAAAATGTTCAGTAGGTGGAGAGTTTTACGTTCTTGATATAGTTAGTTAAGAATGTGACTACCACTGAATTAAATTACATCAATCTTAATAGTAACTTGAATACCTTAGATGATAGGATTCTGATTAGTTCAACCCCTATAACTTGTCCTTGTCGTAGTATATAATATTTGTTAGACGCATCAATGTGAAATTGTTGTACTCCATGTGTACTTCATCTGTATATGTGAATTATTCTTTCAGAATGTATCCGAAGAAAATGATATGAATGAACTGAATGGTTTGTATTTGTTGAAAAGGTATTGGTCAGTTATTTGGAGAACTTCAAATATCTATCTAAACTCATATCCATAAAGACATAAGAAAATTATAAACCTACCTTATTACCTATGAGACACAGCGAAACTATGAAACATATTTAAATTACTTCATTATTTTATTGGTTATTTGAATCGTCCCTATGAAGTTTAGGACTTCAGCTGACCAGTCACATATTGACATATGTTCACTTTATACGTATTGCCTCTATATTCTCATAATTCACGAGCATTTCAAGCAAAGATGGGTGGTGGATACCAATGGAATCCAGGATATGTGTTTCTTTTTATTTGGGATTATCTGACTATCAGGACTCAAAAGCTCGGTGGATAACGCAATGAAGTCTGAAAAGAACGGTACTGGGTCCGAGTCTCGGAGTGAATGTGGACTCTAAGATGCCGGTATATCTAGCCAACGAGTCCCAACTAGGACGAAATATGTGTCCTGAATTCAACTGCTAGCCAATATCCATATTCGCTTATATTTAAATTACGGTCATATTGTTTACATTTATATCTCTTGTTGTTCTTATGTAATTTCTATGTATAATTTACATTTCTACTTGGCTACAATATGGAACAAAAGCATATTGTCAGAATTTTATCATTTTAATGAATAAAATGCTTAATCTTCCATGCGGAAGTATTTAAATGTATCGTGACATGTCAGAAAAAAAGTCAATGCTGTACCTAATTATGCTGTATCGATCATTCCATAAACGCCTGGAGATCTCATACTTACTTTTTATGTACGTGACCTGAATGTCTCATGTATTCAGATCAAGACAAGGTTTTGAGCGATCACTGTAAAACTAGTTTGAAACCAGAATAAAATACTTTCTAAAGTTATCTGGCCAATGATAACACATGAAATAACTAACATCAAAGAATCTATTGTCACAAACAATTTGATGTGATCAGTAATGGGGTTGTGAAGATTGTTGAGTTTTTGAGTGAGATGACGAATCGATCAATGTTAAACCATCACTAAAAACTTGCAAGAACTGGATGGCTATTACGTTCTAGTAGGGGAATTCTACGATACCGCACACAGAATTCGAATTCAGGACCTTCGGTTTCGCGTTTGAACGCTTAACCTCTAGACCACTGAGCCCGTGTTCAATGGTGTTAATGCCTGACTTCAGATAATCCACGATATTACGCTACTGTCTTTCATTGTCTGAGGTAGATACCTGTCTCTATCCGACACAGACTATCTCCACTGGTCACGGTTTCTCACTAGAACTCTAAGAATTACCTCTCTAACATTGATTAGTTCATGATTTCAATCAAAAATGTTTTGATATAAGGTGAAACAGATTTGATCATCAGAATGCGATAGATGTAACGCATAAAAGTAGATGTATATTTCATCTTTATTATTTTTAAGACATTTAATCCCTCATCAAAGTTTCTACATCATAAACTGCTTTCAGTTAATGAGCTTGAAGTAGCCTTTATAAAGTAAACGTTCCTTAAAGTCAGAAAAACTTCGAACAGAATTATAGTTATGTATAGCATACGATAAATAGTTTGTTTAGGACAATATTGTGGTCTGGCAACTCGAACTGATGTACGTACGAACGTACGAAGTTCTACGTTGTTACTGACTGACTAAGACAATATTATAAACATGCGTATTTATTAATTCGCGTTAATTTTAGTAAGTTAATCGATAATCATATACGAGATTGTCCCACTACTTTTGCATCTATAAACGTATATCTGTTAATGTTAGTTGACATACTGTTCAAGAATTCAATTACGTAATTATTTAATCATAACTATTGCAGCTTCAGATAAAACATGTTTGTATATATTAAAGTATTCTTTCGACGGACTGATTTACCATCTTTTGTGCACAAGATAATTTTCAAAAGAGGGTGTAAATCTTTAAACAAATATCCGTCTTGTAAAAAACCATAGTTAGAAAGAGAAATTTGTTTGTGTTTTGTTGCTGATTTTTATTTAGTTAAACACATAAACATTGGTACAATAAGGCACCAAATAGATATGCGCCATATAAATCATTAGATTTATGTAATGGTTTGGATACTGCGTGGATTCCCAAACCGAAGCAGGTGGATTTCAGAGGGGGCTACACCACTAGCCTTTGATTTAAAGGTCTAACCCACAAGGTAGTCTTAAGGTAGCCAGTGGCCGACAATTGACTTATACAACATTAGTTTCCTTAGGATCATGGAACCAATGTACACTGTTGGTTTGGAATCAGGATTTTCCCACTCCCTCCCTACACACCTACCCGGTTAAGGCGTCGGACATTCACTTTTTGTCCTCACATTTTTGTAAACAACACCCCTGTCGCAAGAACTCAGTGAGTAGGACTTCCCTGCCAGTGGTTGTATGCACGTGGGCAATTGACAGCATTTCAAGAGGGAAAGCTGACTCTACTCTCGGTCTTACCAGAGCATTTAGGGATGAGATTATATCATGAGATTATCTCATGTGAAGTTACTATTGACAATTAGATAAATACTTATACAGTTGAATTCGCAAGCCAATCTAAGCTAGACCACTACTGATAACCTGGAAGCACTGGACGGTCGTTTTTGTCCTATTATGCGACTTCTAAACGGTGCACATCCAAGATTGCGCATGCAGGACTCAAACCCGGAACCTTTGGTTTCGCTCACGAACCTCTAACCTCTAGATCACTGAGCCGTTATCCAACGATATTATTGTCTAACTTTAATCGATCCGTGATCTTTTGTAACCATTCATTATCTGAAGCGAATAACTATCTTCATCCCATATAGATTGGACTCCACTGGTCCTGGCCGTCCGGTGCCTCAAGGTTTACAATGTTAGTTCGATTTAAATTGACTCGTGAATTCACAAATCCCCATACTGATTAGTTATATGATTACTCAATGATTATTGAACAGTTTAGACTAAAACCTGATGATCTCTGTAGATACAAACGTGATGTTTGCCAAAAAAACTTTTGTTAAAGGAAAAGTGACCGTCTGAAGTAGTACTTAAGCTAAACAAGATTATGATTAAAACGAGTTAATAGCTATACACTAGCTCAGAAATATTTTTATTTATTTATTTTAAGACATAGACATTGGTACAAGGAAAACATTTTTTGTATTTGTTAGTGTTTATTTTTGTTGTTGCCTAAGTAACTTGTTGAAATACCCTGTGCTGAGAATTATATATTGTACTAAAATATAATATTGGATAAAGCCATTAATAATAATAATAATTATAATTATAATTATAATTATAATAATAATCCGCCACACAAATCTCATTTGATATGTGTGAGGGCTGTGATACTGCCTGGATGCCCAAACCGGGGCAGATGGTTTTCTTAAGGGTCCACACTTGGAACCTTCGACCTGAAAGTCTGATCCACAAGGCAGTGGAGATTCCCAAGGAGATGCATCCCATGGTAGCCAGTCACCAACGATTAGTTCATACGGCATTTGTTCCTTCAGGATAATGGAGCTTATGTGCAACATTGGTTTGGAATCACGGTTTTTCGAATCCCCTAGATGGACTCAATATCTCCACCGGCCTGGTTAAAGTGTCGGATATTCGCTTTTCGTCCTCTCATTTTCGTAAACAGCACCAGCGCCTCTAAGAAGGCAATGAGTAGGACTTCCCTGGCAGAGGCTATGTGAGAGCAGTTGGAGAGGAAGAGCGGACTATTCCCACTCTCGGGCGTTCCAGGGCACTTGGGAGTTTTCACTGTTAAATAGAAGGACTATACAGATTTCATACAACCTTTTGTTTCAATGTTTACGATTATATATATATATATATATATATATATATATATATATATATATATATATGTATGTAATGTATTTATTCATTTCAGATGGTGAAAATGTTAACATTAGTAGCATTAATGTATGGTTTATCACAATTACCAAGGCATACAATCTATTTACATGGATTAATTAATCGTGACTTTTGGTTTAAATCTTATTCAATTAAAGCATGGGCTGCAGCAAATTTTGCTCGTGATTCATCCACATGTTATAATCCATTTATATATGCATGGATAAATAAAAATTTTCGACAAGATATTTATCATTTATTTTATTCATGCTTTTTATCATGTTTTAAAATACGTTTACCTAAATTAACACGTTCATCAAATAAAACAAATTTGTTAACACGTAGCAACAATAATAATATACAATTGCCAATGATTCGTATGAATCAACCATCATCTATCAATGAAGGGAATTCAAATTCTATTCATTATTTCCCAATCAATCATTCAACTACTCATAGTGAATTACATGATAAATCAAATGTAAATCGTATTTCAGATGGTTAAGAAAACAAACAAGATACTACTAACAATAACCACCACCACCACCATCACCACCAGCACCACCACCACCACCACCACCACCACAACAACAACAACACATTCAAGATACTTAAGTGGTGTTAATGATGTAAAACTATCTAGATAGATTATGTTTAAATCTATACTGTTTATTCTAAACAGAAAGAAAAAAGAAGTTAAAATGTATTTTGTATACATTTACACGTACCATTATTACCATGTATTGGTTCAGTATAATAATATCATGATAACATTGTGAAAGATTTATGATTATGGTTATATAGAAATGTCATTTATTTCATGACAAATGTTAATATTCTGTATTATTTTCTATTTTAAAATATATAAATATACTTTATTATGGTTATTAATATTGATAAAAGTGCTAAAGTCAACGAGAATATATAAGTGGGGATAATGAAATGTACTTGGATACAAAATTATAGAATGCCTTAAACAAATCTAAGAACTGTACAGTAAATATTTCATTTGTGAAATGTTAATCAATTGTTTCAGATTTGTATTATTCCTTCATTCTGTTTTGTTCGATCTTCTTAACTGTTTGCTATCAGGTATTCTACTTTCGATTGGTGATACATACTACTTATATCTGTTGACATCAGTAGTACACACTACAGTACGTGTATTAATCGTTGTACAGAGGATGTCTTGCTAGATGCTATTCAATGAAGTGTATCTATCGATTTTTTTTTAAACTCATTTTAGGGAAACATTGTTAAAGATTAGAAATTTGTTTAAAGTTACGTATGATCCTAAGTTTGAACAATTTACTTTCAGATGGATATGTTTTACTATGATGAGTTTGATGGAGTTCTTAAAATGTGGTCTGAGTTTCAGTCATTTATTTTACATAGCTGAAGTTTATTATGATACCATTTGATTTGATTGTTAAGATTTGAGGGGATAAAATCAATTTTAGTCAAATATTTATATGTTTCAACATATTTTCACAGTAAACTGATCTGTTTTAATAAATAACAATTATGAAATGTGAAAGAAGAGACCGAAAATTAATATTAAGATCACTTGATCGGAAGTTAACGTCCATCATTAATGTCTTAATACAAAAGGTTACCGTAAAAACAATGATCTACAGTACAATGTTTAGTAATATTCAGCTGTCTGGCTTCGAGTTCACATGGATACATATACATATATATACTATACAAGAAATAGTAAGGTATCATTTTCGATTTTGGGTTGTGGAAAATATTGAATTTCATTGAGATCATGAACCGATCGATGTTAGACTACCATTGAAAACCTAGAAACCTTCAGTGGCTGAACCTTAGACATTAAAAATGTGGAGTCCTGATTCAGTGGTGTACAGGTGTTATATCCCGATAAGCATAATGAATGGTAACTTTTGGGATCCATTTATGGATCAATACCATGCGTATATTTTTATCGTATAATTGTTAAATAACTAGACTATACATATTCACGTCCAACTTATTATGAGCTTTATTTTGACCTATGAGCTATTATAATACGATCTAACATTCTTGAATTATGCCCTGTCTATTAATTACTACCTCCATCATTCACATCCACATTTGGTTAAATCTTGTACAAATGTTGTTTCCTATTTCATGGTACGATGTGGTCTGTTCAGTTGGTATATAAACCGAGTATGTTTGAAATAAACGATTCATATTGCAGAGGCTGCGATTGGTGTTCTGGACTTAACTGGCTGGGCCAGGCAGGAACCAGGATTGATAAGTACTCTAGACTGCTTGCACGGGTTTTATGCGTCATTAGTCCGATCGATAAATCACTGCTCTCTAATTGGCGATATGATTACGTATACATTAACAAGGCATTCAGGACACAAGTTATAACAACAGGTTAGACATTCGGGCACGTGACAGAAGGTCCTCGTTTCTGATCCCGCGTTCTGGATCTTGGATGCTTGCTTCTGAGTTTATAAGTGACTTTTTCACTACTTTTACGGATATTTTCTATTCTATAAATCTATCTAGCGATTGATTTGTGATGATAGATATATGGCCCCAGAAAAAATTAAAATATTACTTAATTCATAGTAACTGATACTTTTCATGACCAATATCTTCAATGTTGACTACCACAGCTCGAGCCAGTGATCTAAACCAGGTTATTCAGTTTTCGATGCATAAGTTTATCATTAAAATCACTGGATGGGTGTTATGAGATGAAGTTTCAATTTCGCTTAGTTTATAATTTAAGTAAACGAACACTAATGAAAATATTTCATCTTAGAAACTAAATCTTTATACTTATAAAAATGTCATTTCAACGCTTATAACTATTACATAAACATAACAACTGACATTGTAGGCAGGAGTTTGTTTTAAAGAAAAAAACAAACAAATTTCTGTCATCTAAAGGTACCATTATGAATACTAAAATACCTCTACTTAAAAGCATGTTTTGTTTTCTTAATTCTATTAAACTTATCAAAGGAATAAAAAAAGTAAACAAAACTGATGTCGAATTTTTCCTGGTTACTCGGTAATTTTAAGTACAATTATTGATTATTGCGGTGGATATAAAAAGGGATAGAATAACGACCGACAAACAAACTATATATCATTAAATGATATCGTTTCTATCATACAGAATATTTAAAACGTGGTATTACAATAAAAAATAATAATAACAATCATCAACATCATTTGTAGTTGGGTAATGTACAATAATTCATATTGAAGTACCTTATATACTTGAAAAACCATGGTAATAAAGCATAACGTCAAATCTAGTGTAAAGTATGTTATAAAAAGGATTGTATTTGTGAAAACTATAAATCTAGTTATATATTAATGACTCTTGCATGATATTTGAAATAAGCTGAAAAGTTGTAATCGGAAACGTCATTATTGTTTAAGTATATACCTTTAAACAACTACCTACCTACCTACCTACCTACCTACATACATACATACATACATACATACATACATACATACATACATACATACATACATCGACTGATAGTTTCTTGTAATTTCGAACTACATAGAATAATCTAATACGAATTTCATTTCCGTTGCATAGGGTAATAAATATTAAATAAAGAGTTATTATGTTAGATGTATTATTTCTAACAATTACTTCATTAACGTAATGATAAGTTCTAAGAATAGAACTGTGACATTTTCTTTTGTTAATTTCACTAACTTTATGATGCTGTTTATTATTACGTGATTAGATCACCAATTAGAACACCGACTTGTATGAAATTGGTCAACTAATGACATGTTGTCCAGCGTAAGAAACCTGGAATCTATTTTCAATCTGTATTGGTTATTCGTGTTTAGCCTTGTCTGATGGAATGCAGAACAAAATCTCAGTTTCTTTTATATAAATAATGTATTTTAGATATATACGCAGTTTTTATATATATATATAAGTAAATCAGACCGCTTTATATCATAAAATAGAAAATAACAATTATACAAGTTCAAGCCAAAAGTGATTGTGAACGTGAGATACTATAATTAATAAATTGGGAATAATATAATTCTATTACTATTAATATAATAATCTCCACAACCCCTATACTGGTAATTAACATGTGCTCACTAGTGATTAGCTTCGTGAGGGTATTCTAGGAGTTCTAGTGAGAAGCCATGACCAGTGGAGCTAATCCATGTCGAGTAGAGACAGGTATCTACTTCGGTACAATGGAAGATGGTCGCGCAATTTTGTGCATTGGTTGGTGTTGTACACTATCAACATTGGATGCCGGCTCAGAGGTCCAGCAGGTTAAGCGTTCACGCGCGGGATCGAAGACCCTGGTTTCGAATCCCGCAAGCGGGATCATGGATGCGCACTGCTGAGTAGTCCCACAATAGAACGAAACGGCCGTCCAGTGCTTCCAGGTTTTCAATGGTGTTCTAACATCAATCGGTTCGTGATCTCAATCAAAAAGATATAAGAATAGTCGTATAATAGTAGCCGATAAGCCAAATGAAATCTTGTAATAAGTGATATATATATATATAGTTCAAATGAATGTGATAATGAAAGTATATTATTATTATTAGTTAAATTTAACTCAAATAAACTGTGTTAGATAAAGCTGTCAAGGTAACAGTACAATTTTTGAACTTTGCCAGGAGTATGAAATAAACTCTTCAATTACTCAAGGTTAATATTTCACAGCAGCAGATAATGTCTGGTTGTAATTCTCAAATGAAGCATAAATATAAACTAACATCATATTACTATACATTAGCATAAAACTTCTTGAGAACATTTTTACCAGTTCGGTCTTTAATATGTCTTTATGGTTCATACTTGAAGTACGGTTGTGACATTTAAATTTTGATAGTTGAATTCATGAACTGATTTAAGCTAGACCATTATTGAATACCTGGAAGCACTGAATAACCGTTTTATCCTAGTATGCGACTTTTCAACATTTCGCATCAGTAATATCTTACCCAGGACTTTCGATCTCGCGAGTAAACACTTGAACTCTAGATCACTAAACTGGTATCCACTAGTGTTAATGTCTAATTTCAATCAAACCATGATCTTTCGCAACCCTTCATCTCCACCTAACACATTTAAATTTGCTAACAGATAATAGTAAGAATAAATTACTTAACTGTTTCAAATATGTTTAATAGTCTTTGATATTCATACCGATTTTAATGGTCAACATAAATAATTTTCAAAATACATAATGTCACAAGGAGGTAAATTGATGAATCTAATTTAGAGAAAACAATACTGAATTAGATTAATGGGCAAATAATAAATAACAAACGGAAACACATACAAACATAACAGTATAGCTTTTAATGAATTCCCTTTCATGAGTAAAAGCTTTGTAGTTACTTTATTAATTTGGTTCATGACCAACTAATTTGTCCTGAACATTTTACTTAGTTCATTTTGGAAAGAAAAACAAAAGTGGAAACTATTGTCTAAGCACAGAAAACAATCCATTGTATTCAACAATTATAGTGAGT